TCCTATGATGCTGCTTGGCCTGCTGTGTTCATCCAGCTCTGCACCTTAACCCTATCCTATGATGCTGCTTGGCCTGCTGTGTTCATCCAGCTCTGCACCTTGTTGTCTCACTTAATACATGCACCCAGGTGTGTATTTTCTTAGTGTCCAGCTTGCTTCAGGCAAAATTCTTTGTTTCCCTTTGACAAACCTGCCTGACTATGGCACTGGCTGGGTCTTTGGTCCAACTTCAGTTCATGGCCAGTTTCAATGGCCAGAGCTTCATAAGAAGGGAGAGAATTCAAAACCATCCCCTCAGTGAGAACTGAGTCACTGTTCGCCTGTCAGTCTCCATTCAAATTTAAATGTGGCTAAGTAAACTTGGTATGTTGGGTGGCGGGGGGGAGGGATGGGGCAGGACCTGTCTCCTGGGCGTAAGGGGGAAACAGCAAGGGGCATACAAAAAAGGAGCAAACACTGTCAACAACCCCTTCCCTTGACTGCAGGATGCATCAGTTTGAGATTACTCCGTCAGGCAATGCTCCAAGCTCCTAGTTACCTGCAGAAAGGCGCAGACTAGACATGATGGACCCGACCCAGCTGATCTGCTCGGAGGACCCCCCAAACACGTCCTGGAAAGCCACAAAGAAAAGTCCAAAGGTCTTCAGTGTTCCCATAACCAACACGTTCACCTGGAAATCAAGATCAAGGGTTACAGAACAGAAATCAGCCAATGTGAAGCATACAGTGATCCCTGAGCATCACAGAGAAACCTCTCTCTGTGGGAGATCCAAACCCACATCAGCCTCCTCCTGGGCTCCAGTTCTTTCTGCTCAATCTCTGAAAGGTTCAGGATTTCAGGCAGTCCCCTCCCTGAGCCACTTCAGCATTTCACTATCATTATCACTGGACAATTCCGGCAACAAACGAGTGAACAGAATCAGTGGCATGGGTTTGCAGAAATCCCTCGAGTTGAACAAAGAGAGGATTTGTAAGGGGTGGTGTTTGATGATGTGAGAAGCCTGAGAAACGGTGATCACAGAATTGTTCTAGCACAGGAGGTCAATCTGCCCAGTGTCCGTGCCAGTTTTCTGTGCAATGGTCTAGAAGAATCAGCTTGAGACGCAATGAGGTACAGACCTGTGCAGTATTGGCTGATCTCTGACTCCCGAATTAGGAGGGGATTTTGAAGGGCCGAAGGAGCACCTTCAAAGAGACAGGGTTTGCAGTGAGGGGAGGGTGGTTGTATTGGCCAGGAAAAGCAGCAGGAATTTAGAAGCAGCTACTGTCTGCAGTATAACAGAGTCATCAGTAAAACCAACATCAAGATGTCTCCTTAATCTGTATCCAACTTTACAAAAGCAAAATACTGTACACATGCTGGAAATAAAAACAGTAAGTGCTAGGAGCAGTGAGCAGGAACTGTGGAGAGAGGAACTGAGTTAATGGGCTGAGACCCGAATTACAGATCGATTTGTAGCATGTCAGGAACTAGGAGTTTGAACACTGTGTTTGTCGGTAATACTGTTTACGTTTGACTCCCTCACTAATTAGATCGATCACTAGTATTCACCTGGTTAACCTACAATATCTACACCCATCTGACATCACAACACTCCTTCCACTCCACTCAATCCTCTCTCCAACCTCCACCACCCCTCCACCCCAACAAAAGCATTAAAATGGTTGATTTCCAGTCCCTTTCGGTTCTAAAGAAGTGCACATTAGACACAAAACATCAACTCTACTTCTCTCTCCACAGATACTGACAGATGTGCTGAATTTCTCCAGCATGTTCTGTGTTTATTTCAGATTTCCAGCATGCATGGTATTTCACTTATACCAGCAACATGATTTTTCATTTATTAATATGACATGGACCTTGCTGGCTCAGCTATTGCCTGTTCCTACTTGCCTCCTTGAGAAGGTGGGGATGAGCTGCCTTTTGAACTGCTGCAGTCCATCTATTGTAGGTTGACTCAGAATGCACTTAGGGAGGGAATTCCAGGATTCTGACCCAGTGACAGTGAAGGGATGGTGACATATTTCCAAGTCAGGATGGTGAGCGGCTTGGAGGGGAACTTCCAGGGGATGGTGTTCCCATGTATCTGCTGCCCTTGTCCTTCTAGAAGGAAGTGGCTGTGGGTTTGGAAGGTGTTGTCTGAGGATCTTTGGTGAATTTCTGTAGTACATCTTGTAGATAGTACACACTGCTGCTACTGAGCGTCAGTGGTAGAGGGAGTGGATGGTTAAGTTGCTAGGTGGATTGCTAAACAAGCGGGCTGCTTTGTCCCGAATGCTATCTAGGTTTTTGAGTACAGGTATTTCTCCTATAACACGATAGTTGTGTTCTTATGTGACCTCGCACTACAGAAAATCATGTTATAGGGAAATCGCTACAGAAAGTCGCTAAACCTGTACAGCAGAAAGTTGGTTATCCAAACAGCGTCCGCTATTCATCAACTGCGTTACAGCCAATTCACGTTAATGAAAGATGTGTTATAGAAGAACTACTTGTATTGTTGAAGCTGTACACATCTAGGCAAAGTAGAAACAATTGCATAAGCATTCTGACTAGTGCCTAGCAGATGGTGAACAGGGTTCAGGATATAGGTGTGTTACTTGCTGCAGGATCCCTAACATCTGTACTACTCCGGTAGCCACAGCATTTATATAACTGGTCTAGTTCAGTTTTTGGTCAGTAGTAAGTAGGTTGAATAGTGGGGGATTCTGTGATGGTAACATCATTGAGCATTACTGCCACACAACTGCCAGACAATGTTATTTCCCATTTGTCAGTCCAAGTCTTGAAATTGCCGAGGGTTTGCTGTGAATGGACACAGGCTGCTTCAGTATTTGAGGAGTCGCAAATGGTGCTGAACACTTTGCAATCGTCGGTGAACATCTGTACGATGGAGGGATGGAGGGATTGAGGGATTGATGAAGCTGCTGATGATGGTTGGGCCTAGGACACTAACCTGAGGAACTCCTGCAGAGATGTCCTGGAGCTGAGATGACTGACCTTCAACAACCACAATCATCTTCCCGTATGTCAGGTATGACTCCAACTAGTGGAGAGTTTGCCCCCTGATACCCATTGATTCCAGGTTTGCTAGGGCTCCTTGATGCCACACTCAGTTGAACATGGCCTTGATGTCATGGGCAACCACTCTCACCTCACCTTGGGAATTCAGCTCTTTTGACTTCATTATGGCCTTTGTCCAAACATGGTCAGGAGCTGAGTGGCTAACTGACTGTTCGAAAGGAGATATCCCTTTGCCAGTCTGCATGGTAGCACTGCCCTTTCTTATTGAGATAGAAGATCCTGAGGGGACTTGAGGTGGATGCTGAGAGGATGTTTCCCTTTGTGAGAGTGTCTACAACAAGGTGAGACAGTTTTAAAAAAGGGGTTTTCATTTAAGAAGGAGATGAGAGATTTTTTCCCCTCTTAGAGGGTCAGTGATTCCCTCCATTGGGGGAAAGATTCCTTCCTGTCTACCCTGTCTATACCCCTCAATATTATCTCAATCATGCCCCCTCTCAGTCTCCTCTGCTCCAAGGAAATCAAGTCCAATCTGTCCAATCTCTCTTCATTACTGAATCTCTCCAGCCCGTGCAATATCCTGGTAAATCTTTTTGGCACCTTCTCCAGTGCTATTACCTCTCTCCTATAATGTGGATTCCAGAACTGCACACAATACTCTAGCTGAGGCCTAGTCAACAATTTATACAGTATCAGCATAAACCCACATTCAGAGTTGTACAGCATCGAAACAGACCCTTCATCCAATTTATCCGTACCCACCAGATGCACTAGATTAATCTAGTCCCATTTGCCAGCATTTGGCCCATGTCCCTCTAAACCCTTCCTATTTATGTATTCATCCAGATGCATTTTTAAAGTTGTAATTATACCAGCCTCCACAACTTCCTCTGGCAGTTCATTCCATACACACTCCACCCTCAATGTAAAAAAGTTGCCCCTTAGGTCCCTTTTAAATCTTTCCCCTCTCACCTTAAACCTATGGCCCTCTAGTTTTAGACACCACTATCCTGTGGAGAAGACCTTGACTCTTTACCCTATCCATGTCCCTCATGATTTTATAAACTTCTATAAGGTCACCCCTCAGCCTTTGATGCTCTAGGGAAAATAGCCCCAGCCTACTCAGCCTCTCCCTTTAGCTGAAACCCTCCAACCCTGGTAACATCTTTGTAAATCTTTTCTGAATCCTCTCCAGTTTCACAACATCTTTCCGTTAGCTGTGAGACCAGAATTGCATGCAATACTCCAAAACTGGCCTAACCAATGTCAGTACGGCCTCAACATGACCTCCCAACTCCTATACTCAATGCACTGACCAATAAGGCAAGCGTATCAAACACCTCTTTGATCTTAAACTGAATCCTTCAACAAAGGAAGGGAAGGACACTATATGACTTTTTAACCCCTTAATTTACCTGTCCCACTACCTCACGGCATTGATGGACATGCACACCAAGGTCCCTCTAATCCTTGGCGCTTCCCAGGGACCTACTGTTTATGTATTCCTTTGCTTTGCTTGTTTTTACAAGTGCATCACCTCACACTTATCCACATTGAATTCTATTTGTCACTTAGGAGACCATCTGACCAACCCATCAGTGTCCTCCTAAGATCTAAGGCTATCCTCCTCACCATCAATTTTTGTATCAACTGCATCTTACTGATCAACCCTCTTACATTCAAGTCTAAATCATCGATATAAATACAAAAAACAAGAGCCCCAACACTGGTCCCTGGGCAATTCCACTCGCTAAACATCCCACAGTATCCCATTCTGCCTCCTGCCACTCAAATAATTGTGGTTCCAATCTTCCAAATTTCCTTGGATCCTCTGGGGTCTTACTTTTACTATCGGTTTCCCATGTGGGACTTTGTCAAAAGCCTTGCTGTAGTTCAAGTACATCATGTTGAATGCAGTGTCTTCATCTACACACCTGATACCTCTTTGGAAAATTCAACCAGCTTGCTCAGACACGACCTCCCCTTAACGAAACCACGCTGACTGTTCTTGATTAACCCCTGCCGCTGAAATGCAGATTAATGTGGTCCCTCAAAATTGTTTCCAATAGTTAACCCACTACTGAGGTTAGACTCAATGTAGGAGCAAATTCCTGCAGATGTTGGAACCTGTATTGAAAATAACAAATGCTGGAGATCACAGCAGGTCTGGCAGCATCCACAGAGAGAGAGAGCAAGCTAACGCTTCGAATCTAGATGACTCTTCTTCAAAGCTTCATGTTTGCTCTGATGAAGAGTCACCTAGATTCAGATGTTAGCTTGCTCTCTGTCTCGATGGATGCTGCCTGACTCGCTGCGAATTCCAGTATTTGTTGTTTTCAGCACTGGAGTTAGACTGACTGGCCTGTAGTTTCCTGATTTATCCTTTGCTCCTTCTGGAATAACAGTAGCACATTGGCTGTCCTCCGATCCTCTGTCACCTCTCCTGTGGCCAGAGAGGAAGTGAACACTTTGCAAGTGCCTCTGCTATTTCCTCCCTTGCCTCACTCAACATTTCATCTGGCCCTGGTAATTAAATTAATTGAATCTTAAGCCTGACAGATCACTCAGAACCTCCTCTCTGGTTATGCTAATTTATTTAATTGTCTCACAGACCTTTTCCCTAATTTCTATACCTATATCATCCCTCTC